TGTTACATTTTCATAACAGCATTTTTTAATACTTTATTATTTGTATTTTAATAGCATATTAATGAAATAATTCAATAACAAAAAAGTGTATTGTTATTTTTATTTGTTATTTCCTTTGTTACTTGTTATTCACTTTTGTGAAATCTTCTATCTTAGCACATATTACGTTGAATTAAAACACTTGATTTACTGGGGCGCCTGGGTGGCTCAGTGGGTTAAAACCTCTGCCTTCGGCTTGGGTCATGATCCCAGTGTCTTGGGATTGAGCCCCACATCGGGCTCTCCGCTCCTTGGGGAGCCTGTTTTCTCCTCTCTCTCTCTCTGCCTGCCTCTCTGCCTACTTGTGATCTCTGTCTGTCAAATAGATAAATAAAATCTTAAAAAAAAAAAAAAAACACTTGATTTACTTATATGCCCCCTCCTGTAGACTCTGAGCTCCTTAGGGGTGATGCTTTACTCAGCTTTCTATTCCAAGGACTTATCACAGTACATGGCACAGAGTGGGAACTTAGTATGTATCAGAGGCATGGATGGCTGGAAGGATGAATGGATGGAGCCAGCCGAACAATGAAGATTGATTTTCCAACTTAACCTGCTACAGCTGATTTACCGATTAAAACATTCTCCACCATGAGGAAGGAGTGCCATGTCCAGGGCCACCATGCAGAGTTTCACTGGTTGTTCACTGTGCAAGGTGGCAAACAGGTTTGAGTAAAGTCAAATCAAGAAAAGCTATTGTACAAGTTAGTCATGCAATGAAGGGAAAGGATGATGGCATAGGGTAGTGGCAAGAGGAAAAACAGCTCAATAAAATGACAATCCCAGAAGTTCTAGGCATTCTGTGTCTTTTTAGTTGCTTCTAGAATTGTAGAGTGGTGGGGTTTATCAAATGGAAACATTATTTTTAAGTATGTTTGGAGAAATTCTTAAACATAAGAAAATCCCAACAATCAATAAATAAGTGTAGAGTGATTTTGTGACTAAAACTTGTCAGCTCCTCCCATTAGACCTGCAGTTTGTGCAGAAGAAAGATGACTTAGAAATGTGAAGGGATGTCTGGCAAAATCTGGAATGCTTAAGAAATCCTGGTATAGCAGAACTGACTTATCTCACCCCACAGGTTTCTTCAAACTAGCAAGAGAAGCAAAAAATAAAATATAAGCAAATAAGGGCATTAACTTTACTAAAAAAAAAAAAAAAAAAAAAAAAACACAAGGAAGGAGAAAGGAAACTGGATGCTTTCACACAGAAAATACATATTAAAATCAATAAATTACTGCATGAAATCAAATAAATATAACAATTAACCTATATAAAATCATAATTGAGATTTACAGAAGCTATACCATCATCTTCAATTTTCTATAATAAGACACTACATGCTTAGCCACATGCAAAAGAATGAAACTGGACCATTTCCTTACACCACACACAAAAATAGACTCCAAATGGATGAAAGACCTCAATGTGAGATAGGAATCTATCAAAATCCTTGAGGAGAACACAGGCAGCAACCTCTTCGACCTCAGCCACAGCAACTGCTTCCTAGAAACATCACCAAAGGCAAAGGAAGCAATGGTAAAAAATGAACTATTGGGGCTTCCTCAAGATAAGCTTTTGCACAGCAAAGGAAACAGTCAACAAAACCAAAAAACAACTGACAGAATGGGAAAAGATATTTGCAAATGACATATCAGATAAGGGGCTAGTATCCAAAATCTATTATGAACTTATCAAACTCAACAACCAAAGAACAAATAATCCAATCAAGAAGTGGGCAGAAGATATGAACAGAGGTTTCTGCAAAGAAGACATCCAAATGGCCAACAGACACATGAAAAAGTGTTCAATATCACTCGGCATTAGAGAAATACAAATCAAAACCACAGTGAGATACCACCTCACACCAGTCAGAATGGCTAAAATTAACAAGTCAGGAAACGACAGATGTTGGCAAGGATGCGGAGAAAGGGGAACCCTCCTACACTGTTGGTGGGAATGCAAGCTGGTGCAGCCACTCTGGAAAACAGCATGGAGGTTCCTCAAAAAGTTGAAAACAGAGCTACCCTACGACCCAGCAATCGCACTACTGGGTATTTACCCTAAAGATACAAATGTAGTGATCTAAAGGGGCACGTGCACCCGAATGTTTATAGCAATAAAATCCACAATAGCCAAACTATGTAAAGAACCTAGATGCCCATCAAGAGATGATTGGATAAAGAAGATGTGATACACACACACACGCTCGCGCGCGCACACACACACTGGAATACTATGCAGCCATCAAAAGAAATGAAATCTTGCCATTTACAACGACGTGGATGGAACTAGAGGGTATTATGCTGAGCGAAATAAGTCAATCAGAGAAAGACAATTATCATGTAATTTCTCTGATATGAGGAATTTGAGAAGCAGGGCGGGGGTTGATAGGTAGGGAAGGAAAAAATGAAACAAGATGGGATCAGGAGGGAGACAAACCATAAGAGACTCTTAATCTCAATCAACAAACTGAGGGTTACTGAGGGTTAGGGAGGTAGGGATAGGGTGGCTGTGTTATGGACATTGGGGAGAGTATGTGCTATGGTGAGTGCTGTGAAATGTGAAAGCTTGATGATCCATAGACCCGTAGCTCTGGGGCAAATAATACATTATATGTTAATTAAAAAATACTACATCCTTGTTTAATATATCTTTAAATGTTGAGGCTAACTTTGTAAGTATACAAATAAAAATAATAAACAGTTGCTTGGAAAAAATCCAGCATTTTATTGCTAATGGAAAATTCCCAGGAATGAAGAAAACTATGGGCTCTTAATTTGTTTTTGAAAATCTGCAGTTTAAAAATAGAAACCTCCTCTAGAAATTGGATTGCTTCTGAGTATGGCACTCTATGGAAAGAAAGAAGTCAACTCACAGAGAAACGTGATAAAATGTTAATCTGGCAGCTGCCATTTCACACTCTTCTTTGCCAAGAAATACCAGAACCCTGCAGCTACCCCAGCCAAAGGCAGCACTTCATTTCTGAACTTCAGATTTTATTAAAATTTTAAAGCAAACAGAGTCCATTTTCATTCATGATAATTTCAAATCCTAGAGGATTTCAAAGTTCAGCCCAGATTGTAATTTTTCTACTCTCAAGTTGATCCTCAAACAGGACAACTAGAAAGATAGTTTGTTTTTGCCACAGCAAAGCTAACAGAATGCAAATGTCCCTCCATGCTTAATGGTGAGTAATACTATCTAGCCGCTTAACCAAAGACATCTGGAGGGGGTCCCCCAAGGTATGCAGATGAACCTCAGAAACCAAAATCTCAGGAGAGAATAGTCTGCTGAAGACAGACGGCTGAAGCTTACTTTGTGTCATGGACACAGCATCCCCTGGAGGAGCCCAGGAATCTTCATTTTTAACAAGTTCAATGGTGAGCCTTCACACTTCGTGCTATGTCAGCAATCTACTGCTTCAGGTTGCTTTTGATCTGGAACTTCTGCAACATTAGCATCTCACCTCTAGGTGGCAGCATCTGTGAACTGTTACATGTGGTTGCGACTGTTGAGTGTCAACTTCAAAGATTTATTTCCAGAACAGGAATTACACATTGGATTTGTCCAACTAAGCCATTACTCCTAAGTGCTATATCTATGGAAAAATGTGGCAGGATAGATTTTTTTCGTAATTTAAAGTTCCAACTTAGACTTTAGAAATAAAAACAATTAACTGGTTTTTCTTGCATAAAGCTTCCTGTAACTCATTTAAAGTGAAATGTAAGTGATAAATTTTAAGGCAATGTGTTGTGAGCATTTTTCTTCCCCTGACTGTTTAAGTCATGACTCCCAAAGATCACATAGATCAGCAGTTGGCAAACATTTTCTGCAAAGGGCCAGATCATAAGTATTTTAGGCTTCACGGGCCATACAGTCTCTGTCATAATTACTCAATTCTGCCATTGTCACAGGAAAGCAGCCAGAAACAATACATAAATTAATGAGTGTGGCTATGTCCCTATAAAACTTTGAAATGTGGAACAGAAAAAGGTGAATTTCATGTAACTTTCACATGTCTCAAAATATTATTATTATTTTAATTTTTTCTAACTGTATGGTTTGACTGTTTGTCCCCTCCACCTCCAAATTCATACATTAAGATCCTAATACCTGAAGTGATGGTATTAGTAGATGGGGCCTTTGAGAGATGTTTAGGTCCTGACAATGGAACCACCAAGAATGAGATTAGCATTCTCAAAGAAGAGACACCACAGAGATCCCTTGTCCCTTCCACCATATGAGGATACTATAAGAAGTCTGAGACCTGACAAAGGGCCCTCACCTGGCATGCTGGCACCCTGATCTCAAACCTCTAGCCTCTATGACTGTGAGAAATAAATTTCTTTTCTTTATAAACTACCTGGTCTAGGTATTGTTACAGCCACTCTAACTAAGACGAAATTAGACATAATGAATGAATGAAGACACCAATCATTTTTAAAAAGTAAAAACTATTCCCAGTTCTTAAGCTGCACAAAAACAGGTGGATGGCTCAGATTTGGCCCATTGGCAGCAGTCTGCAGGCCCGTGGCATAGATCAGTTTGGTGGAGCAACATGAATTGGTAGTAACTAAGGTATTCATAAATAACTTATTGATAACTTTTCTGAATATAAGAGTTTAGCCCAAGAAAGAGGGCTTGCCACTAAACATAAGATTAAAAACATTAAACAAAAATTCATATGACAAAACTTGGAATTCTGATTCAGAGTTGATTTCCAGACGACATTTTACCAAATAGAACTAACACTTAGATCAAATATTTCTAAACACATCTAACTTTCCTTCAGGTACAACCAAGCTATTAAAGACCAGTGAATACAGGGGAATTGTTGGAGTCCACAGCACCATATAAGCAGGAATGCAGATGCAATATGTTCAGCAGGTAAACAAACAGGTAAAGGAACCTTAAATACACTAAGTCCTGAATCTCCAACAGGGAACCAACACCATTACCTGTCGTGTCTTGACTGAGGGTTTCCTGGCTGCTGCTGCTGTAAGAAGGCACTGGAGTGATGGACAGTGAGGCTGGACAAGACAAAGGTGTAGCCAGCTCAGTCTTGCAGGTGAGGGATCGGTGGTACACAGGGATGCCCGCATCTTTGGAGACAAAGAGAGGCAGATCTGATGGAAGAGTGGGTCTGCCTTGTGCATATGGATTTTTCCAGTGGGTGAGCCCGATTGCAACAGGCCCAGCAACATCATAACCTGGCGAAACAAACACATAAGGTTAGAAGCAGCAAGCAAAGCCTCTTACCATATCTGCTTTCGTATTTCTCAAAGTCTTAGTTGTGAATCAAACCCAATACCACTTGACATAAGGATGCATCTTACTAACAAACAGGCAGGAATTGTCACACTTCATGGGTCATGTTCACCATTCAACATACATTTAGGAAGCCACTGTACAAGGAGACTGTTACTATTTCAGTTCCATAGATGAGGAAACTGGGTCTCAACTCGCCCTAGGTTAAGCAGCCAGGAAGTGCCAGAGGCAGAATTTAAGCCCAGATCTGTCTGACTCTAAAATCTGTGTTCTTTCCTCTAAACCAGAACAGACTACAGTACAAAATAAAGTGAAAGAGATAGTTTAAAGTAGGACAGAAAGGTACTCCCTCAGGATCTCAAGGGAGAAAGTTCTTCTTGGTGAAGGGACGAGTTCATGAAGAAGGTGGTATGAACTTGGCCTTATAAGCAAGCGTTGCAACCTAGAGGCCAGAGGAAACAGAGGGACAGTTCGGTTCTGCCGATGTGTCTTATCTGGCCCACTCTTTTCTTAAGGTGAAGTAAAAGTCAAATTCAAATTAACAACAATAAAAATCTAGAGAGTTCTCAAGAGAATCCAGCTTCCTAGTTTCTCTTGAAAAATCTCTTGATCTTCTCCTCAAGATCAAGTGAAACTGGACCAAATTACCACAGGGCAAGTGTCAGCTGGAGAAACTCCAGGAGCTATTTTCTTCAGGTGGAGTGAGGGAATTCCAGTCTGCCGCAGTCCCCACCACTCCCTAATACCTTACTCCCAGCCTGTTTCACTGCTTTGTCTTACATTCCTAACTTCTCCGGGATTTTACATTTGCAACCCGAATATAGAATTTAGGAATATAAGTATAATCCAGGGGAAAAAAAAGAATGGCAAGGTAAGCTGATACAAGACAGTTGAGGTTCTTAAATGCCAATGTAAGTAAACTAAATTTTTTGGCAAGCAAAACAATATTCCTGAAAGTCTATGTAGTGAGGACTAGCATAATCAAATTAATGACAACAAAGGTAGCCAGAATCTGTCCCTTCTTGTTGTGGTGGTTGTCTCTTCTGGGAGGCCTCCTCTGACACCCCCAAGCTTTTTAAGCCATTTGTGAAGGATAGCCCACTACAGAGTGCTGGTGTGTGGGTACTGGAGGTATTGGAAGAGAAAGTCCAAACTGGGGAGGGCAGGTTGAAGAATCAAGAAAGCCCAGAGGATGGGGCACCTGGGTGGCTCAGTGGGTTAAGCCTCTACCTTCGGTTCAGGTCATGACCTCAGGGTCCTGGGATGCAGCCCTGCGTTGGGCTCTCTGCTCAGCGGGAAGCCTGATTCCCCCTCTCTCTCTGCCTGCCTCTCTGCCTACTTGTGATCTCTCTCTCTGTTAAATAAATAAATAAAATCTTTAAAAAGAAAGAAAATAAAAGAAAGCCCAGAGGAGGTAACAAGGGAGGACATCTATGTAGATTCTGCAGCCTAAACTTGGTGTCTGGTGCCATCTTGAACAGGTAGTATGTGTCAAACAATCAATGCCTACACTTTACACCCAAGCGTTTTATTCTCTTCATACATGGGTCCTTCATGAACCGAGCCTTCCTCAAGGTTCAAGCGTGTTTTAGTCATCTTTGAAACTCCCTTCCAATGTCTATTTGGCTCTTTGCCTCTTTCCTCTTCTACCAGTCCCTAGCACAAAGCTAGACTTAGGAATGGCACTCAGTGGATACCCAATGTTCACTGAGTTCCTCGATGCCAGAGGCAAGGAGATGATGCAAAAAGCTGTGAGGGAAAGGCTAGGGGAGTATTACTAAGGGACCACATTTAAGTGTTGGCAGCAGGAAAGGAAAAGAAGTCCAGAGAGATACATGATATTGACCAAAGAAAGAGCTTGGGGTAGTTCTGTCCCTCCCTAGCAAGATATCAGAGAAGACTTGTGGCAAACGGAAACATAGACTTCCTCATCCTAACTGTGGCAATCAGAAGGACTGGCCTTGCAAAGGCTGAGGAAGGTTGAGTGTGTTTTTAGACATGAGGAGTTTGAGCCTCCATGGAAATATCTATGTGGAAACATCTGGCAGGTAGCTGGGAGAAAAATGAAAGTGAGGATCAGGAGAACTGAGACCAGAGCCATAAATCTAGTAGTTACCCACATAGAAATCATGGGTGAGGCCTAGGAAAAAGTAACCTCATTGTCATAAAATAATAAATCCACTAACTAATTTTTATTGGCATTGTGCTAAGGGACCTACAAGCACCATCTCATTTAAACCTCACAATAACCCTGTCAGGCAGATACTACTAATATTCCCATTTGACAGATAAGGATAATGAGGCCAAAGGACATTATAACTTCCTCAAAGTCAATAGCTCTACAGAAGCAACAGTTAAGATTTAAGGCCAGCTTGCTAAAGACGAACATGGGTGCTAAGAGAAGAGGTGGCAAGAGGGATTCTGGGAGTTTGAAATGGGGCCTGTCCCCCACAATCCCAGCCCCACAAATCACTCTTAGATTATTTATTCCTTCCTGAACAATTTTAGACAAATCCCAATGGACAGAATGATTGTGGAAAGGAAATGGTGACAAACATGAGAACTTTCCTACTGGATTGTTTGGATTCTTCTTGGTAAGTCACCTTCCTAAAAGGTGAGTTCTACTATGCAGAATGTAATGATGAAGGTGAGTGCATCTCTCTGGAGTGAGGGCTTTGGAGCCTCTCAAGATAATGAAAGGGAACACAAATTCTCAATGTTTAGAATTGCAATGGAGCCAGAGCTGCAGAGGACTGAACTGAATGCTACGGACCCCAGGCCTGCCCTGATCATGTTTGTTAGACTACGTTTTTTTAAAAGATTTTATTTATTTTTTTGACAGAGAGAGATAGCAAGAGAGGGAACACAAGCAGGGGGAGTGGGAGAGGGAGAACAGGCTTTCCGTGGAGCAAGAAGCCCAATGCAGGGCTCGATTCCAGAACCCTGGGCTTTTGATCCAAGCGAAGGCCAGTGCCCAATGACTGAGCCACCCAGGTGCCCTGGACTAAATTTCTGACACAAATTTGTTGATTGTATGATCAACGCTCTCCCACAGCTCACTGGACCATAGAAATGAAATTCCAGATTTCTCCATTTAACTTGATTTTCCATTATGATTTGTTAAAAAACTTGAAGATGTAGTACCTTCTATTTACACTGGACAATCATTTTACAAGAATATAGTCTATTTATTAATAATAATATTATATATATATATTTTACATATTATTTATTGTTATTTTATTATTTAATTGTTTTCCCTTGCCTGTTGCTTCATTCAGAACCTTACTTAAACCCCTCTTCTCTTTCCACATTCCCAAGCTTCTCTGGAGTCATTGTACAGAATAAAGCACAGAGCAAGAGTGTTATGTTTTTTGTTTTTTGTTTGTTTTTTTTTAATGTATTTATTTGACAGAGAGAGATCTCAAGCAGGCAGGCAGAGAGAGAGAGAGGAGGAAGCAGGCTCCCCGCTGAGCAGGGAGCCCGATGTGGGACTCGATCCCAGGACCCTGAGATCATGACCTGAGCCAAAGGCAGAGGCTTTAACCCACTGAGCCACCCAGGCGCCCCAAAAGTGTTATGTTTTAAAGTCCCAATGAAATCTGAATTCTCCACAATTTCAGATTTTACCATTTCTTTTACAAAATAACTGACTTATAGTATACAGTTAATTTTTGAAACATCATTCACATAGCTAGCAAGCCCTTTTTTTTAGTTTCAAAAATTACCACATCATTTACTCCAGAAATGGAGTTCATTAGCAAATATTTTAATCCATGCTATTGATACAAATTAACTATGATAATATCTGTGTGATTATAATGGAATATAAATGGACCAGCCTAAATTTGCAATGAGGTCAAAGTATTTTGAGAGGATAACCAACCGTCCAGGGGAACAGCTGGCATCCAAATGTCCAAGAAGCAAGTAACAGAAATTTTACATTGGTAGCCATCCCATCCTCCCTTACCTACCATCCTGTCCCCTGATGGGGAGTGGGGTAGGAACAGGAGTCTCAGTTCCCTTGGAGTTCTGTCAAAGTATCACCCAAAATCATGAAAAGAGGCATGTAAGGGACACTCAAAATGTAAGCTGTCTTGAAATGTTAATGTTAATGTTAATGTAAACTGAAAATGTTAATTAACTATGACATGTTTAAATCTCTCATACTTAGGTAGAGTGGGAGTTTACTATCAGAAAATAAGGAGTTATCCAGGAGTCTCATGGATATATAGAAAGATTTCAGGAGTCTTTTTATTCTGTTCCTTAGTTGTTTTTGTTATTGTTGTTGGTTCTTAATTGTTTTGTTATTGTTGTTTGGTTTAGCAATTCTTCTTTTGGTAGGACATAGGCTCCTATAAGGAACTATTAATGGGAAGTCCACAGGTATGCTATTTCTTACAATGGAATGGATGAGTAAGTACTCCATAAGAGAAGAACTGAAATATAGGAGATGAAAGAGACCAAAAAGAGCTTTTAAAAAAGAACTGCTTGGTGATCCACAGATCGTTCTCCCTCTAGTAATTTGAGTCTAAGGCTATTAATTATTTATTTTCTGGTTTTACTATAAATATTGCCCAAGTGTTTTGTACTAGAAAGACTGTGGGTGGTGAGGGGCCCCTGGGTGACTCAGATGGTTAAGCATATGCCTTTGGCTCAGGTCATGATCCCAGTGTCCTGAGATCTAGCCCCATGTGGGACTCCCTGCTGGGTGGGGAGTCTGCTTCTCCCTCTCCTGGCTTCTCCCTTTCCCTCTGCCTGCTGCTCCACCTGCCTGTGCGCTCTCTCTCTCTCTCTGTCAAATAAATAAATAAATACAATCTTTTTAAAAAACTGTGGATGGTGGACATTGCCTGTTGCCTGCACAGAAGCCATCCCTCTCCTTCCTCCCAACAGAGTTCTACTTTGGGAATTCAACGTACCCCCACTCAGCCAAAGCAATGAGGGCAACCTGACATCATCCCCATCCCTCCCCCCCAACTACTCTGACGTGTCTCATCTTCCTTGCCAATGACTGGTTTAAGGGGGAGTCGTGTGACCCTAACCTGCCCAATGAGATAGGAGCAGTGTCTGAGGGCTTCAGGAGAAAGTGTCAGCTCCTCAAATGAAAGGCTGAGGAAGCCACCAAAGCTCTTTTCCCTCTGATCATGTCTGGATGTAATTCCTGGAACCGTGGCAGCCATCTGACTGCCACACTAAGATAAATTCCCCCAGAAGGCAAAGAGGAGAAGGTCTTTCACAATATCATTGAGCAGCTTAATCAACCTGTCCTGAGGACAGACCTGCCTCTGGTCTTCCTGTTATGTGAAATAAATTTCCTTACAGTTTCAGCCACTTTGAGTTAGGGAACTGAAGAAACACTAAAGAGGCTTTCAGTTGTGCTGTCATCTTCTGAGAAAACTGTCTGTCATACCCACCGCCCCTTCAGAGGCAACTGCATAGTATGAACCTACTGTTATTAGTTTCCCAGGGTTGTTAATGAAGTACCACAAACAGGGTGGCATAAAAAAAAATTATTCTCTCACAGCTTTGGAGCTAGAAGTCTAAAAAGATGTCAGCAGGGCCGTGCTCTCTCTGAAGTCTCTAGGGGAGAACCTGTTCTATGCTTTTCTTGTAGCTTCTGACGTTACTGGCCATCCTTGTTGTTCCTTGGCTTATACACATAACTCTCTGATCTCTGCCTCCACCATCACATAATGTCTCCCTGTGTGTGTCTGTGCCTCTTCTACCCTACTTGTAAGGACACCAGCCATATTGGATTAGAAGCCCACCCTAATGGAGTGTCTTAACTTGATTACATCTACCAAGATCTCATTTCCAAATAAGGTCACAATCAGAGGTTAGGACTACAACATATCTTTTCAGGGGACACAATTCAACCCATAATACCTTAACATAATGGCTGAAGATGACTATGTGCAATAAAATGACATACAAGAAATATATATTTGGCCATTGAGACCATATTTTCCAGGTCTATTTGGTCTTCATCTACAGTTGCCGAAAATGTTTCAGAGCCATAAATGTGACATGGGTGTCTTGTTACTAACAGAGGTGGCTTTGGTGTCAGAACTGAACTGAAATCTCAGACACCCTGCTGGTGTCTGAAATTTTCTTAGTACTGGGGGGAGATTTACTTAGTACCTGGGGAGAACCTCCACACACATTGGACTTGGGTCTAGGAACCCAAAAAGGATCAAGAAAGGGCACTAGGCCTGTAGCAAATAGCAAGAGTGTCATCCAGTGGGAGCTAGATTACCTAGGTTGAAATCCCCTCTGTCACTACCCATGTAATTTCAATTACTTTTTAACCTTTCTAGAATTTAGTTTCCTCATCTGAAAAATGGGGAAAATAACAGTACCTAATTTGCAAGGTTTTTGTGAAGATTAAATGAGCAAATACAGTAAAAGGACCTAGAACAGTTCTTGGAACCAAGAAAGCTCCCATGTGGTCTTCACTATTTACCCCTCTACTTCCATGGACAAATGTCTTAAGAGATAAGTGTCTGTTCGCAGCTCTTCAATCCTCATGCCAAGCTTTGCAACTTGGCTTCCCTCCCACGACTTACTGCCATGGCTCTTGGGGATATCACCAGGACAGCCCTTGAAATCTAACCTCTTCATCCTCTCTTAGAAATTCCCTGGGCTTTCCAAAAAAAAATGTGCTCACTTGGTCTTCCTACCCCTGTCATTATTTCTACCAATTATGCTTCTCCTAAAGACTGGCTGTTGGCCCTCTACTCACTCCATGTACTGACTCTTATGATCTAATCCTCTTGCAAAAATTCAACTGACTTCTCTGTGCAGAGAATTCCAGTATCTTCATCTCCTGCCCATTCTCTCCTGTGGATCATTCTGAGGTGGGAGTCTCATAGGTATCTCAAGCCCAACGTATCTAACCTATAGCCATCAAGTCCTCTTCCTGACTGCTGTATTTCTAGGGATGGCTCAGACTCCCTGTCACCTGACTCAAACACACCTGTCTTTCCACCTATCCAGTCAATGACTAGCCCTGCCAGCTCTTCCACATCTGTCCCTCCAGACCTGCTCTTTAGCCCACCTATCAAGTTCATTACTGTCTCATGTCAAGGATAAAGTCACAGCCACTTACTCTGTTATAACACCAGACCCCAATACACACACATGAAATCCATCCTGTTCATCAACAGAATCCCTTCTTTCATCCATGCATTCATCTTATCACCCTTCTCCTCTGAACCTCCCACTAATTAACAAATGTCTTTAGGAATGTCATTGTAGGTTATTTAGTGTTTTGAAACCAGAGTCCATGAACTGTCCACAAGAATTTTTTAGTTGTTTTTATTTTTCATTTTAAAGTTAACTTAGCCAGTTAAAAATTAATAGATGCATATTGTGGACCCAGTTCATTTAATTTTAGGGCAAAGATTTTCTTCTCTGTTTCCAGCAAGTTGGCACCAACTGCTACACTCAATGAGAAAAGAAGAGAGATGGATATGTCAAGGTGCATTCATACCAAAGGAAGATCCAATAACCTCAGCAGCATTAGCAGAGATTTCATAGTGGACTGTGCAGAGAAAGCAAATGGCAGAGCAGAGATATTATGAATTAGCTGTAAAGCTGTACTAAACTCAAAGATCCCATACTGCTGCAGCCAATACCACGTTGCATTACAAGAAGTAATTGTACTTCAGCAAGATACCAATATTTATCACAGTAAATTAATGTGATAGATTTGTAATTTTTTGCTTGACAGTGTTTTAAGTTTTATTTAAATAATATTTATTTAAATAAAATAACATTTTATTTAATAAATAAAATTTTTTGCTTGACAGTGTTTTAAGTTTTATTTATTTAAATAAAACTTAAAACTCAATTTGATTTATATAGATATCTGTATGAATAAGGTGCTTATACTTAGTTTTATGTTTGAACACACTTAAGTATCATTATAATAAAAATAATTTAAATCAATTTTAGGGGTTCATTGTTATTATTTCTTTTTACAGGAGTCCATATTACGGAGGTTTGAGAAACCATTATATAGTGTTTAAGAGCATGAACTTCAGTGTCAAACAAATCTGGATTGAAATCATGGATACTTTAATTATTGTCTAGGTGGAAAAGATCAGATTTCCTCATCTGTGAGATGGGAAAGTAACAGTCTCCTCCTCATAGAGTCCTGATGAAGCAAAATAATGCATGTTAATGGCCAACAGTAGCAGTAGATACATATAAACCTTAAAAAGGAAGTCAATTTTAATATTAAGTATACATAATAAAACAGGTGATATACAAATTAAAAAGTTAAAGCAAATGATGAAATGCTGGGAAAACATGGAGGTTTCTTTGTTTCTGTTTTTGTTTTTCTGGCTCTCTGGACCACATTTCCTCCAACAATACCTATGCAAAAGCAGTAAGAATCCACAAGAGGGTGCTCCAGCAAGATGAGCCATGAGCACCTGCTCTGATTCTGAAAATACAGGCGCCCGCTCTTACATTTTCTACTTACTTCTTCCTCAGCACCTCCACCCCAGGAACTTCCAAGCAATAATAGTTTTTATAAATGTCAAAATTGCTCACCTATGGTGATCTGGCTGACACAACTGTAGTAGCTGCCTGTCGTTGCAGAGGAAAGGTTATAACTCCCACTGCTCACATCTCTGTCTGTTAAGAAAATAAAAGAGAAGGTTGGTTATATCCTGGTAGACATCATGAACACAGTGTGAATATATGGCTGTTGGTAGATGAGCCATCCCCCAGTTCTGGGCAGTCTCCTGCTCCTTCATTGGTTCATTCACTGATGCTTAGCTGGTGCTCAGTGCCAGGCACTTGGAACCTTCAGCAAACAACCTAGACTGCCCCACACAGGTGATTTCAGTTGGGTGCCACTGTTACTATGATGGGGGGGAAAAGGGAAGCTGGCAAAGGTCCAGGGACAGGTGAGAGAACACTTGATCTAGAGAGGGTAGCAGGTAAGGCTTCAGGGAAGTGACATCTAAACTAAAACCTAGGGACACCTGGGGGCTCAGTCCATTAAGCATCTGCCCTTGGCTCAGGTCATGATCCTGGGGTCCTGGGATTGAGTCCTGCATTGGGGGTTCCCTGCTTAGCTGGGAATCTGCTTCTCCCTCTCCCTCTCCCTCTGCCCCCCACCTCTGCTTATGCACTCGCTCTCTCTCTCTCACTCTCATTCTATCTCTGGCAAATAAATAAATAAATAAAATCTTAAAAAAAAAAAAAAACCAAAACCTAAAGGTGAGTAGTGCCTGACTAGGCCAAAGGGGGAGGAACTGAGGGAAAAGATCCAAACAGAGAGGCTTCCTCATGCATGGAGGCTGAGGCCACAGACAGCCTCATGAGTTGGCAGCTGAGCACAGGAAGAGGAGAGATAAACAGCAGCTAGTCTATGACAGGTCTTATAAACCACATTAACCAGTGTGGATCTTGCCTAGAGACCAGGATCCCATTTTCACTTTGGAAAGATCACTTTGTGACCCTATGGAGAACATACTGGAAGAAGCAAGATAAAAGGCAAAGAGACTCCTTTCTGGGGCTGCTGCAATCATCCTGACTGGAAGTGAGGGTAGCCGAGCCATGGGAGAAGGTCAGTGGGGACGAGAGACATGGAAGCAATTCCCTTTGAAGCTAAAAGTACAACACACCACACTAAATTCTTCTTGACTGTGAACAGAAAATGCTCCACGCATTCGGGACAAAAGAAACCCAAAGACTCCACTGACATAGCATCCTAGCATTTTCATCCACATCGCATCACGCATTAGGCAGGACAAGCAGGTGTCAACCCCACCCACCCCAACCCCAGTCTCTGATGGGAAGGCTGAGATGGCTCTGGCCACCAGGGCCACACCACAGCATGAAGCAGAACAGAGCCCACATGGAGATCAGAACTACTTCAAACTGTTTAGGAAACACAGCAGGGCATAAGTATGTGATTTTAAAATATCAAAGTAAATATATATTTTCTAATATAAAACTCTATAGGTTAGAGACAAAGAGTCATTATAATAATGGTTACCAAACTGACGTGAAGATACTATTGGAATATTATGTTATATAATATTAGGAAAACTTTGAAACTCTGACCTATAAATGGTGAAAATTATGGGGCTAGGGGACATAATTATTAAGAATAAGTCAGTTGCGGGGTGCCTGGGTGGCTCAGTGGGTTAAGCCTCTGCCTTCGGCTCAGGTCATGATCTCAGGGTCCTGGGATTGAGCTCCGCATTGAGCTCTCTGCTCAGCGGGGAGCCTGCTTCCCCGCTCTCTCTCTCTCTCTCTCTCTCTTTCTCTCTCTGCCTGCCTCTCTGCCTACTTGTGTTCTCTGTCAATTAAATAAATAAAATCTTAAAAAAAAAAGAAGTCAGTTGCACTCAAAGATACATTCTGAGAATCAGATTTTAATGAGACCATGATGCAGACCAGTACAGAAGATGATATGGTATATGAACACTCTTGGGAGGAAAGAACAGCAGGTACGTGGACAGAAGGAAGGAAATGGGAGGCCCCTGAAGGGGTATCCCTATATACCTGTGGTTGGAAAGCAGTTGGGAAATATTAACAAAAGCAGATGGTGATCCAGAGAGCAGAGAAATGGTGGTGGCCCTCAGAAACTATGTCAAGGCCACGGTACATCCACAAACACGATGCTAGAAAATATTTTGAACTATTTTTAATGTGGGAAACATAATTTCAGCAAGTTCATGTGGCCAACTCCTCCTCCAAGAAACATTCCCAAACCATCTGCACTCTCTAGGGTACTTCCTGAGCATGTCTGGGTATCTGGGTACTTCAGACACCCCCATCCACCCCAGCACTGAGCAGGAGAAACTGCACTGGTTTACACAGATCTAAACTGTGGGCTTGTGAAGGGCATAGCCATGCACTATTCAGTTTGTGATTTCCATAATCTAGTGCTGTGCCTGCCATCAGGTGAATCTTCAGTACCTGTTCATTGGTTGAAAGAAAGAAAAAAGGATGTATGAAATTTTTAAAAAAATAAACCAATGACCACTTCCCTTTTCTGTTAGTGTAACTTCATTAGAGGAAGAACACTGAGCTGGGAGACAATAGGCCTGTGTTTGAAGCCCATTTCTGCTGCACAAGAACTCTTAGAATTTAGTCAAACTGTTGGCTGTTTCTACCTGAAAATGGTGACAATAATGCTTATCTCACTTCTTTTTTTGCTAGTGATGGGGGAGTTGATATGATATGGTTAATAAAAATAAATTGGCTACACAAATGCATAGTTCGCAAATAATTCAGTACGCATTTGTGGAATCAGCTGAATCAACAAGATCCAGACCTAAAACATATCTAACTGCTCTAAAGCTGTCATTCCTAATTTCTTTGTAAACCCTTTGCTAATGATCTGTCCTTAAAAGATTTTTGGAAGAGACAAGAACTGCAAGGGATAAGGTCAACAGCATCAAAGCTGATATATAAATAAGTACATATAAAGAGAAATTCATAAGCCCAGAAGTGGCTATGCATGGGGAGAAGAGAAAAGAAATGAAGGAGAAAAGCATACTCAGAAATCAGCAATCAACAAAGAAGAAGGATGCTTGAATAAGGAATGAATGCTCAGGAAGAGGCCATAAATAAAACTTAATGGTAAAGCTACTGAAATGTGAATAAAAGCTGAATGGTAAAACTGGGGCATAATTTTGGTGGCAATAGTCTGAAAAGACTCAAAGCACAAAAGTATAAAGACTGTGGTAGTTCGGCACAAGTTATGGCATTCTGTGTAAAAAATACTTCTCCCGTGTAGGAATTAAAATTAAAATGCTAGATTTTTGGAGGGAGTGTCTAAATATCATTTAATCCTTTAGGGACAATTGTAGTTAAGAAAAAAATCAGGTTAACTAGTAGGAAAATGTGAAACTATAATTGAGATTAATAAAACTTGTGGGTTCTGGAATCAATAGCTAAGTTAGACACCTGGTTCCAAACCTTGGGCACATTATTTCATCTCTATGTAGCTCTGTTTCCTTATATGTATGATGAGAATAATAAAAGCAATTACTTTGTAAGGCAGCACATAGAAAGTGTTCAATTAGTGTTAGCTATGGTTTATTTTATACTTCAAAAAAGCAAGGATATCCATAAAACAGAATGCCATATAGTAAAGAAAAGAAATGAAGTAAAGCTATACAAAATATTATGGATAGATCTCACAAACACTGTTGAATGAAAGAAACCACCTCAAAACACATGATCCTACAGGTGAAAAATTTCAACAGTAAAACTAAATTACATCGTTTAGGGATGCACACATGGATGGTAATACAATAAAGAGAAGTAGCAAAATAATTAGGACAGAACTCAGCATGTTGGTTATTTTTGGTGGACAAGAAGCAACTTTGATTTTGGAGGGCGGATGGGGAGCGGGGTAGGTTCTGCAGTACTGTAAATGTTCTGTATTTTAATTAGGTAGTGATTACACAATATTTATTTTGTAAGTATTTGTTAAACTACAAATTTCTCTCCCCTCCTTTTGTATATGTGTTATAACTCACAGTAATTGTTTTTAAGAAATAAAGAGGGACAGAAATCATGACAGGGCAAACCAGTAATGAAAATTCTGAAAAAAAATCCAAGAAAAGGAGATGGTGGGATACCTAGGTGGCTCAGTGGGTTATGCATCTGCCTTGCATCTGCCTTCGGTTCAGGTCATGATCCCAGGGTCCTGGGATCGAGTCTTGCATGGGGCTCCTTGTTCAGCAGGAAGCCTATTTTTTCCTCTGCCTTTCACCCTCCCTACTTGTGCACGCACTCTCTCTCTGTATCTCTCTCTCTGACAAATAAATAAAATCTTAAGGAAAAAAAAAAAAAAAAGGAAAGGAGATGGTGGTAGAATCAGATAATACCAGTTATTGAGAGCTTGGCTCTTTACCAGGCACTACGCTAAACATTGATTATTTAATTTACATCCATATTTCATTTAAGCTCCAAAACAACTCTTTGATTATCCCTCTATACAGATGAGGAACTAGAAGCTCACAAAATTAGGGAATGTGCACAGAATCTTACTTCTGAGAAGTCATGAGGCTGGAATTAAAACCCAGATTTGTCTTACACTAGACAAATATTTGAGAACAGAGGGGGAAGACAGAAGGAGGACAGACTCATATCACAAGCTGTGTTAGGGGGATTCCTCTGGTATCTGGTGCTAAATCTTTGAGAATCATTTATCTGATGTGATAAGCACTGAGATTCTACAGGGAACAAGGTGGTCATCATCCTATACATTTCTCTTAACAGAAATGTTACGACAAAATTAACACTTCTTTCTCTCAAATTATTTTGGGCACACTCATTAACAGAATCCTCTTATAACAAAAGAAAACCTCACCCATTTCAACACTCAACTGTATTTTACTTTCATCTTAACCACAGGGGGGAAAAGAAAGCACTGCATCTATTTATGTCTTTCTACTGACTGCAGAATTCTAGGAACTATGTAGGCAAACCTAAACAAAATTTTTCAGTGTAAAATGATCATTATGATGTCTAATTTGGGAGACTTAAAAACAAAGGATAGGAATCAAATACTAAATAATAATAGTACACAAGCCAGGAGCTGGGCACTCAAAGGCAAAGGACTATTCAGGGGTGAGGTCAACATATTAAACTTAGAGTTAGTT